AATATTTGTAGCTAAGTAGCATTTATTTGCAGAAATCGTTTATTTTTTAGAAATAAATCTTATTTGTGTGGATCCGAAGTTAATTCCGGCTGTTCTATTTAGAAACCTTTACATGTTATTCATACATCGGAGAATACTGATTCGCATTGCATCATGTAATATGGCGAAATAGTGGCGATACATTGTCGTTTTGTGGTAACAGTGACAGTGATTATCGTTTATTAACATGTGATTTGAAAATTTGGACAAAATGAAACATATTGGAAGTATTACATTATTTGGACAACAAAATGAAAAATATTGGAAGTATTACATTTAGAGCGTAAATATTTATAAATAAAATATTTATAAAAATAATTTATAAAAAAAATTAATTTATAAAATAAATTAATTTATAAAATTAATTTATAAAATATAATTTGTAAAAGGACCCCGCACAAAACCTATAGAAAATGGTTTTCGATCAAATTGGCTGAAATTTCACTATGTTATAGTTTTCGCCATGCTGATAAAAAGTTATCATTGCACCAAGTCCCAAAAGTCAATATTTCCCAAGATATAAAGGGTCAAAGTAGTGAAATATGCTCATCCGCAGTAGTAAGACGTATGTTATAAGTATAAGTGAAACATTGATATTTATTCACGAAATAAATAAAAATCAATTTTTACATATATATATGTAATAAATATTTAGTTCCGTAATATATATGTATATGTATATACAGGGTAGGGCAAAAGTATCGGACCGGTGAAATATCTCGAAAAATATAAGTTTTACAAAAAACTATTTCAGATCTTAAAAAGATCTATTGTATTTACTGATTTTAGCAGATTGATCTTGGGTGGCGTTGCCAAGGTCAAAAATCAGTTGTTTTCACGGCTACTCACAATCAGTTGTTTTCACGGCTACTCATAATCAGTTGTTTTCACAGCTACTCACAATCAGTTGTTTTCACAGCTACTCAAAATCATTTGTTTTCACAGCTACTCACAATCAGTTGTTTTCACAGCTACTCACAATCAGCTACTCACAGATACTCAAAATTATAACATAGTGAAATTTCAGCCAATTTGATCGAAAACCATTTTCTATAGGTTTTGTGCGAGGTTCTTTATAATTAAATATATTTAATTTATAAATATAATTAAATATAATTATTTTATAAATATGATTAATAAAATTAATAATTATTTTATAAAAATATTTATAAATTACTTTATAAAAATATTTGTAAATAAAGATAAATATTTATAATATTATAAATAATATTATAAAAAAATTATAATTACTGCTTCGGCATATGAGGACAATAAGAAACACAGTATCAGTTGAAGAAGTAGCGTAGCTACTTGCTACAGCTAGAAACCTGAAGGTATCTGAGGTTTTCGAGTTCGCATCCGACCAGTACTGAGTAAGTTTTCAGATATGGAAATAGTGAAAAATCAAACAGGAAAGCTAAATTTTATTTAAAATCAAATAAATCGGCGATTTATTTCTGTAAAATAAGCCTTACATTCTATAAGTAAATTATCAAGTCTTTTTTTCTCAGTGTACTGTCTCAATACTATAGCTATATATTTTAACTATATTCCTCACACAGATCGTTTTAGCGATTCTTATTTTCATCAAACGCAGCAATTCATATTTAGTTACGAGGCCTAAGTTTTCTTGCACATATTGCTATAATACTGCTGCTAAAAATTTTACGTACCACAGACAATTTTCTAGCAGATACAAAAAATAACGATTCATTTTAATTGTAACATTTAGAATTCTAGTTGGACCAATAAAACATTTTTTTGAGTGTAGATATTAAAGA